CCATTGAAAAGGTGGGAGGGAGGGAGGGAGGGAGAACTAAGTTGATTATTATTTTGGTAGTTGGCTGACAAACGGAAGAGCCTACTGGATGAGATGGCCATCAAAGAACATGAAACTGCTACTGAAAATAAAAAGAAAGAAAATGATCTAATAGACAAATATAAGGTATATCATATTCATTTATTTATAAAATAACCAGCCAAAGACCATGTACAAAAATACAGGGTCTTTTGTTGAAGCTTTACAAAATCAATTTTACACTTTAATGTCATTAATATATATATCCATATATATATGTACTTGTACTTTATTTATTATTACAGGGTGAGATTGAGTCTCTCCAGTCACAATTGGATGAAGAAAGAGATAAAGTTAAACATTTGAATTCATCAGTTGATGAATTAGCTGATCTTAAGAGAAGAATAAAGTCAATGGAGAACATGAAAGAAACTTATGAACAACAACTGAAGGAAGCACAAGTAATCCATCTAGACTGTATGCATCAATTATTTCATTCAAAATTGGAATTCAGCAGAAATATTGAGTACCTAAACTATAGCCTGCAAAATGATGCATAGTTCAATACAATATGATTATTAAATTCTGCAATATAATGTACATAATGTTCATGTGTTAGGAGTCCTTCAGTAAAGAGAAAGGTGAACTAGAACTTAAACTGAGTGAGTTAGATGGAGAGTATAAAGAAAGATTGACTGGACTGGAGACTGAGGCAGAGGAAGAGAGAAAGAAAGCAACTGAACTGAAGGAAAAGATAACTGAACTGGAGTTAGAACTAGATGAGAAGACACAGGAAATTAACATAACTGGAAAGAAATCATCTAATCTTGTAAGAGCAGAAAGAGAAAGGGAGAGAGAGAGAGAGAGAGATCTGACAGATAAATAAATTCATGCAGTATATGTACTGTACATGTAGATTAAAGATCTAAAGCGTCAGCTTCAGGCAGCACAGAAGAGAGAGGAGAGACTCCAAGACTCATTATCATCATCATCACCTCATATTGAAGTATCAACTCCTATCAGGCAAGACTCAAGACATAGCAGGTGCATACACACACCGTTGGGTGCAAGTATCCACTTCATTTTGGAGGGATTTCAGAGCTTTTTGAATTTATAATACTAATGTTAATATTGTGTAGGGAGAGTAGTTTATCATCTGTAAGAGGAATAGGAGCAACTGGAGGAGCTGAACAAACTCAACAAGTATGTCACTAGTATAGCAATACATGTACACCATTCATATGTTCATTTCATCTTTACTAAGTGGTTTCTTATGATAACTCTGTGAGTAATGGGGTATTATTTCTTTAGAAGGTCAAACCACTAGCTTCTGAAGTTGTTTTTCATTTAATGTCAGAGGCAGGCTTTACTGGCGGCTAGTGATTAGTTTAGCTTCTTCCTGTCCAGCTCGTTAGAGTTGTTTACTCATTTCTAATCTTGTTTGTTGTTTTGTCTTGGCTGTACTGTTTGTTGCTATAGGAATGATAATGGAGGAATCAGGGAAGTTTTTACACAATGTCTAACGCTTGCATATAAACATGTACAGTTTGTTTTGTTATGATTAATGCAATGAGTCTTTTGTGTTTAAAATGTGCAAACCATAAGTACATGTACATGTAGATACATTAATGAGTCTATAATGAAACCAAAGGAACATAATTATGGTCACTGTGTCCTTTTTATTATTAATAGTACACATACACTGATACTCTTTTGGCATATGATGCTCT